ATGTAGCAGGGTTCACTTAGACTGGGTGAGGTTATTTCAGGCAGAGTGAAATTGTGTACCTTTAGACCTTTGGACAGACCTATTTGCTAAAGTTCATCAACGTTTTGATAGAAAACCTCCCAGAAACTAAGGCACTTTTCTTTCTTTTTTTAATTACTTTTATTGGGGGCTCTTACATGTCTTATCACAATCCATATATTCATCCATCAGAGACTAAGGCAACTTTCATGATGAGGATTCCAGGCAGCTAATGAGACCTTTGAATGACAAATTAGCTAAAATGAACAGGAAAGCTAACTTAATATTCTCAAGGAATAGCCGTGCCAGAAAATAATGTGCAGAAATTTTATGGCAACGCTTTTGATGTCTCTTTTCATAGATACTTGGCTGTAATCTGTACTTGTGTACTTTTTTCACCATGGCCATAACAACAAAAAAAACCACCCCAAAATATTTTATGCAGTGACCCAGTACATAATATAAGTATTATAGATTAATGAACAGAAAGATGTATGAAGTTTATTTAATTGGAATGAACTTCTTGTGATAAGTTCCCATATTTCCTGTTCTATCTTTGTTTGTGTCTTTTAATAATAAATTTGCTTAGTGACTTGCTACATTGATTCCACAAGCTTAGGTTTAAAAACTAGTACATTTTGGCACTTACACAGTTGGGATTAAGGTACCAGCCTCCCCAATCGAATGGGTCAAGGGGTGGTTGTGTCATTGAGGGAGGGGTAAAATTACAGAGACATCAGACAAAATAAAGCATACAAGTGCTCACCTTCAGGACGCCCGTGATGTCAGCAGCCAAGTGCACGCAGAGAGCATGAAAATATTTCTAATCAAGGCTTCCATACACTCGGGGCAGGCAAGCCCCCCTAATTACATCGGAACAGGAAGGGGTTGTACAATAGGCATAGGTGCAACAGGAGGGGGTTGAGCTAGGGGTGTACATGCAATAAGAAGGGGGGACCCTAGGGGGCATACATGTGACAAGATAAGTGACCCCTAGAGTCAAGATGGCAGTCCTTCTTGATCCTTGATCCTCCCTGAGTTGTCTTTACCTTAGTCTTTGGACTCTCCTTGGGGGAACACTCCATTCTCCTTATCAGAAGGGAGTGGGCCCTACTTAGGGTGGGGCTGACTATAGGGCCTGATTGCTCTAGATGGCTGATAACCCTCAGGGAGATAACCTTTAAGCAGTTGACCATGTGTTAGTAAGCAGCACCTAAGGTTTGGCATATATTATGGGGGAATTACCTTTGTTTCCCACAGGGATAATAACCTGAAAAAATATAGACTTTATTGTATCAGTTGAGTGAACAATAGCTATTCTAAACTACATTTCCCATAAGCCTTTGCGATTTGCCCCCTTTAGATTTCTTCATAAATTATTAAAATCAAAGCCATAAGGCAAGCATATACTCTGAATTTTTTCATTTTTTCTACCTTTTTATGTCTGTACTACATTGAGTCTGTATGTATTCCTTCCTGGGTGAAAGGAAAAGATGTTCATTTTCATGGTTAGCCCCTCTAGTTGGGCACCATCTGGTAGATTCCAACTGCCCCTAGAGGATTTCCTAGGTTGTAATCTTTATGGAAACAGATCACTAGGTCTTTCTCCCTCGGAGTTGCACATGCTTTACCATTGTGCCACCAAGGCTCCTACTTTTTTTATCGGATTTCTCCATTCATCTTTTTCTAGTATCTCTACTCTGTGTCAGCACCTTATCACCTCTTTATTAGCAGATTAGCTTTTTTAAGTATGTAGATCTCCTTTACCTGCTAAATGTTCTCAAATTGCCCCATGCTTTATTCTTTACTTTGTTACTCTATTATTTTCTTTAACTTTTACCATCTTTTTTCCTATTGCTTCTACCAAAATTTTGTTATCAAGGTCACCAACTTTACTTTCTAAGACCGGAGGTTTTTAACTTTAGAAGAGTTTGGTATTGTTAATTCCCTCCTTTAAGACAAAAACAAAGCAAAAACCCTGTGTTTTCCACTATAATATTGCCATTCCAATTAGAAAAGGAAATAAAAGATTATGCTTACTTTTTATCAATTAGGAAGGGGAAAAATGAGTTTGATACCAAGGGCTGAAGTAGAAAGAAAATGTTTTGAGAATGATGATGGCAACAAATGTACAAATGTGCTTGACACAATGGAAGGATGGATGGATTGTGAAAAGAGTTGTAGGATCCCCAATAAAATTATTTTTAAAAAAAATAGAACTCCAATAAAATTATTAAAAAAAAAATAGAACTTAAGACTCCGAACTGTATTGAATAATATACAAAGCAGGAAGCCTGACAATTCCCATAATCCTATCCTCTGAATCTGATAGCCATGATTATGCGTTGTTGTCATGCGTCTAGATACTTTACTTGTTGTGTGCCAAGATGCCCTCACTTTTTCTTCTTAAAGACAAATAGACTTGTTTATAGATACTTTTTTCATTTAAAATAACAATCGGTTGCTTATATAGCATCCCATGATCTTTCTTAATTATTACTTTAATAGATAATGTAATAGATAATTCTCCAACTTTCCTTTTGCTTCTAAAATCTAAGCACCAAGAAACCACTTATCTCTTAAGTTCTTGTTATTGCTGTATCCTGTCATATGGAGTAGAACTTAGCATATACTAGGTTCTCAGTGTATTTATTCAATGAATGATACAGAATTTTTTTATTTCCCCAAAGGTAAACTACCATTTAAATCCCATTTCCCACTTACATGAAATCACACTGTGCTTTAATGGACC